TGTTTGTTGTTTGTTGGGTTGTAGCTGGTTTCTTCTGAGTTGTTTTGTTTCTCACAATTGTTGTTATTTTGACGTGATTTTTTACCGTTTACAGTTGAGAACGGGGTACTGTTGTCTTCTGACTTTGCTATGTCTGACCACAGAGAACTACTGACATTTTTCTTTTGTCCCTCCTTGTTTGTCATTTCAGTACTGTAGTCACTTACAACATTAGAATTTAGTTTATTTTTCAATGTATTTACTTCTGGTTTATTAATATCAGCAGTTTTAATAACGTTTTTTAATGAAATAATATCAGCTTTATTATTTTCAACAGTTTCAATAACTTTGTTAAATTGCACCTGTTGTTTGTGCAATATATCTTTTAATTCTAGTTTGATAGTATCAAAGTTCAATGTTAACAAATTTTCAGACTTTGGGACTTTATTTAAATTACAACTAACAAATAATGGACATTTGTCCCAACATTTGTTTTCTTTCAACTGTTTAATTAACGATATACATTCCAATATTTTCTCAATTTTCATGTTACCCCGCGACTGCAAATTTTCACTTTTTTCAATTTTAAAATTATTTAATTCACTTTTTAGCAATTTAATTGCATTTACAATATCCTCATGAATATAAAATACAGATATATTATTAATAAACGTTTCATTCTCAATTAAATTCCAATTATTTTCTAAATAATACAGGAACTGATTTATTACAAGTGACCTGGACGCCATTTTTTTTGTTTACCAACATACAAACATACATACATACACACATACATACATACATACATACATACATACATACATACATACATACATACATACATACATACATACATACATACACGTTCGCTCAGCTGGTGTCGGCTTCCACATTTTTAGTATTTCGCTAATTTTTAGTAATATTTCTGGTTTTTAAGGTTTTTGTTGCAATAATTTCGGTTTTTCTGGTGTGGTTTTTATAGGTTGTCGCTTTTTTGCCCTTTTTCGGATTAGTGTCCCGCCGTTCGGTTGGTTTTTTAACTTTTGTGGTCTCAAATTTTTAATTTTAGCTTTACCATACTTTAACAATAGCTGTGAGCTTTTACCCAGCTGCACCGTACAATGCTCATTAATATTTATTTTTGTTTTCTCTGTTTCATTCCTAGTTTTGCTTTTAATTTTTAAATTTATTTAAATTAACCTTTTTTATTTTCACCACAATTTTATTTATTTTATTTTATCACTGTTCACACGGTTTTATCTACACGCTTTTGATTTTATTTCGTTGACGTAATGGCACCGGTCCTATACCAATGCACGGTTTGTTTAAATCATTATAAAATAAAACTGGACGGTAAACTATATCGACATGGAGGCAAAGTGAAGGGCCAGGAATGCCCTGGTTCGTTCAAGGCAGCCGACCAGCCTCCGGCTGGTTCATCTGCTTCCGCACGACCGCCTCTTACCGCTGCACCTGTCATCAACCCTCATGTTGCTACACGCGGTTCTTCGGCGTCGGTCTCGGAGAGTCCCTCCCAAGTAGATTTTTTTCATGTTTTTGACAGGCTGACGGTCGTTTTGAGGACTGCCCATCTGTATGATCACGTTCCCAAACCGTGCAGAGACAAGGTATCTAAAGCATTGTCGGCTTTATTGACGGCCGTTTGCGATGATCCCTGCGACGCGGCCCATTTGTGCAGGCTCCAATGTTTTTTCGCATTTGTTTTGTTCAAGCCCACCAGGGGCGGTCGCAGGACTAATCAAGCCAATTACGTTATTAAACGGTTGGCCGAATTCAGTTCGACCGAGGTCGAGATTATTGTGGCAAGCTTCAACACTGACCACAACACCAAACCGCGTAAGCACAATCCAAACAG